GCGAATATAAAAACCAACTTTACCTCTATGCTTGGACATACCTGATTTCGTTTTTGTAACTGTTGAAGCAAGTGTTGAAGAGAAGTTATTTTATTTCTGTTAATTTTTTTTACTTATTTAAACAGGATATTTTTATTGTTTTGTTCATTTTAAACAGGATAAAGTGTCCAAACACAGAGAAAAAAATCCTGCTGAAGCGACTGATCTCCACACTGTTATGAAGATGGCGTTTATTAAAGAGGAGAGTGAAGATGTGAAGATTGAAGAAACATTCACAGTCAAACAGGAAGATCTGCAGGAACAAATAGGTTGGTTTCATTCTCAAACACCAACTCAGTCATATAGAGGTAAAGTTGGTTTTATATTCGCACATTCATTCATTTAGAAGTCTCTATATTGTTTACCATGTTAATCAAGCTCTTATGGACCGTTTCCACTAAGTGGTTCGGTTTGGTACGCTTTTATGGCCGTTTCCACTGTTAAAAGGCGTACCGAACCAAACCGTACCGTACCACTTTTTTGGCACCCTTTTGAAAGGGTCCCAAACACTAAGGCCGTACTCACACTAGGTAAAGTTGCCTCGAACCGGGCCAAAGCACGCTTGTCCCCCATCCTGTCTGCCCCGACGGCCCGCACTCACACCACAAACGGGCCTCGGCACGCTTACGTCATCACTGCTGCGCTGTTCAGTGTGAAGCGCTCTCTCAGCAGCACAGTGGAGATTTCTCTAGTTATATCGTTTCAGTCGTTTGATATGTAGTGACATGCAGTCAAATATTTCACCAAACAGTCCTTAGGGATGCGGTGACACGCAGTCAGATATTTCGCCGAACAGATCCGCCACTTTTGGCGCTCATAAACAATCATAAAGCTCTCGTGCTGCAGGAATGAGGAGGTCTGCTGAAGCCGCGCAGCTGTCGTGCTGTGAGGAGTTCTCGTCTTTAATAAACTACGGCAGTTTGCGTTCACTGAAAAGTAAGAATGATTAATAAATCCATATGAAACACTCCCTTAAAAGTCATGTCTTGCTTTCAGTTTTGGGCTTTGGCGCGTTTTGTACTCACACACAAGCGTACCGCGCCAAAGCCCAAGTGAACCGCGCTCAGGCCCACCTCTTCCAACTGGGCCAGGGCCGGCCAAGTGAACCGTGCTTGAGCCTGATTCAGCGCACTCACACTTCTCAAACGATCCGGGAAAGGGGCCTGGGCACGGTACGGATGGCATAGTGTGAGTAGGCCCTAAAAGGCGGAGCTAGACGCGCAGCTGAACGCTATTGGTTTACAGAGATACGTCATTCGTAGACACAACAAGCCAGAATCTAAATAACGGACCCGCCATGTTTAAAATACACAGCGAGAGATTACAGCGGAATTATAAATACAAATGCAGCCATGGTCGATCCGGGCTCAAACAAACCCTGTCGTCATCTTGATAAACAGCCACAAAGCCATAGAGAAGAGCGGATTTACCCTGTGTCGCGTAGTTTTTTACGAGCCAGTCTGAAGCCCGAGTGGTTTCGCATTCTTCCTTGTGCTCGCCGCGCGTCTCTATCTGAAATAACAAACTTCTTGAGCTGATAATAATATATGCGCTTGATTATTGACAAGCTTTGGAAACCCGGTCCTGTGAGAAGCTGACAAACGCGGGACACATTCTGTGACACAATCAGAAAGAAAAAGACAAACGCAGGAGTGGGGCGCGGAAAAAAGGCGAAGCCAAGGAGCACGTTATTTCTTCAGCAAACGTGAACAAACTGCCTTGTCTTAATCTTTATTATCACCTTTTAGACTAATATGAACTGGGAATGATGGAATGACTCTCTAACAGAGGCTACATTTGCTGCTGAATATTACAGACACAGATGAGAGGTTTTCACTGACTGGAGGCTATACTCAGGGCCGGCGCTTCCATAGAGGCGACCTAGACGGCCGCCTAGGGCGGCAGTATAGAGAGGGCGGCATCCGCGACACCTCCCTTACCACCCGCGTCCTCAGTTATGTCTGCGACACCTCCCTCACCACCCGCGTCCTCAGATATATTCGCCCATAGACAACAGAATAGAGAGGGCGGTCTCAGCGACACCTCCATCAGCACCCGCGTGTCCTCAGTTATATCCGTGCATAGGGCGGCAGAACTGAGGTCCGCTACACCCGCACGTCCTCAGTTACAACCGCGCATAGGGCGGCAGAATAGAGAGCGCAGTGTCCGCGACACCTCCCTCCCTCCCTCCTTCAGCACCCGCGCGTCCTCAGTTATATCCGCGCATAGTGTGCTGATTAAGAGGTCTGCGACACCTCACTTCATTTTCATAACCGGTCACTTTCATTTTCACATTAGGGTTGAGGGCGGCAGTTCAGCTTGCTCCGGCCCTGGCTATACTTTGTGTTGTTTTGAACTTAATTAAGGACGAAATGTCTGCTTTGTGTAGTTCTTCTGTAGTTGGTAACATATCAGAGACTATAAGGGTCTGTATGTGTTCATATATCTTCATTTATTTATTTACTTTATATAATTACAGACGTTACAGTAGGCTATTTCGCACCGTCATTGATCTGCAGTTAAAATCAACTAATGTTCATAGAAAAGTTAGTAATAAACATTTATACACAAGTACTTATGTGTGTAAAGCACCTGTTTTGTGAGAAGTGCGTTTCATATGATATGTGAACGACCTGTGCAGCTTTACTGTAGACATTTTCTCGAGCGAAAATGACGTCGACTGAAACTTTGTCATACACCACGCCCACTAAAAGGGTACCCTTGGTAGTGGAAACGCAAGCCTGGTAAAGGTGACCCGTACCGACCCGAACTTTACCATACTGTACCAGTCAGTGGAAACAAGCCATTTGGTCCAGGGTCAAAACCAAATTTTTAAGCACTGTAAATGAATAGATATACTCAATTCTTTCAAATGCCTTATGGTCATCTAAAGAAATTAAGTCCTTTGGACTGGTATTATTTTTAGGTAAATAAATAATATTAAATAAGCAACAAAGGGTGTAAGATAACTGTCTCCCAACAATAAAACCAGTTTGATCTGGGTGAATTATCTTTCTCATGACTGACTCCACTCTGATTGCCAGCACTTTTGGCAGGATTTTATACAGCAGAGTGAGCTGATCGGATGATAAGGTTCACATTTAAGTGGATCCTTACTCTTTTGAAGAAGTACTGTTATAACAGCCGATGTCATGAAGGGGGGAGTGATTCCGATACAAGAGCTTTAGCAAATACCTTGCACAACAGGGGTGTTAACTTGGCACAAAACTTCTTATAAAACTCAGCCGGGACGCCATCAGGGCCTGGTGCTTTTCTGATTTTTTTTAATTTTTTTTTTGTATTTTTAATTTTAGAAGGTGTTAAAATCCCTTCTTTTGTCAACTGATCTAAATCACAGAGGGATGGTAATTCTTAATAATTAAAAAAGCTCTCAATACGTTCAATTAAGTTTACCTTAGAGCTGTAAAGAGTTTTATAGAAGTTTTTAAATTGATCACTAATACCCTGTTGATCAGTAATAATACTGCCATCATCCTTACTAACTGCTACTATAACGCCAGCTGCTGAGGATTGTTTCAGTTGGTAACACAATAACCTGCCAGCTCGTTCACCATGTTCATAATGAACCTGGCGTGATCTTATGTGGAGATCCTCAAGGAGTCATTCCGCTTGCAGAATAAGTATTTTTTTAAGAAGTCAATTGCCATTGCCGATGGCCGACAAACTTCACGATGCTGGGCCTGCATCACGATCCATCGCCCCGCCCCACATTTATATTGATATATAACTTATTATTTGCATGTCATCGTAATAGCAATAACAGTCTTTTTATGAGCTGTGTTAAATGTTACATATAGCTGCTGCTTGCACGGCTGACAGCATCGTGAGGATTAAATGAAGGATTATACAATACCTCTCGCGCTTAAATGTGTAGATTCAGTGCCAAACACGGTTACCGGCGGACTTAAAGCCACTAGAAGTCTTTTATCCACTCTTGGAAAAGTGTAAATGGTGGATTAACATTCAGCACATGATTACTAATAAGATGTGCCATTATTAATAACTTAAGGTAAACCTGTCTGTTATTTTCATTCTCTCATCTTCAGCGCTTCACATTTTCGCATCTATCCTATCATCTGAAGGCAGAAGGCATTGACTGAGTGATTGACAGCTGATATTAACCAATCATTTGCATTCAGTTGTAGAGCAGTGAGCCAATAAATAGAGCACAAAGGCGGGGCAAGCATTGCAGGCTTTTTTTACTTCAAGTTTACATAACAACTGTTTTAATCTGTTCCTGGTGCTGCGTTTGGCGCTTTTAGGTGCAAAGATGCGTTCTGCATAAATGTCTCCTAAATCTGCGCACGCGGTGAGGATTTTACAGTAAAAACAAATGTATGCACTACAGTGAACTCCAACCGTACTCTCGTCTCCTCCACCAGCTGTAGGAAAAGCCATTCACTCTTTTTTTAACTAGTGACATAAGTATTTTCTTTCTCATTTGTGTTTAAAGGTCTTTAGATTTTGGCATGATGTCTAGCTTTTGAAGCTCTTTTGGTCTACTTCACTTTGTCAGACAGGTCCTATTTAGGTGATTTCTTGATTGCGAACGTGTGTGGTAGTAATCAGGTCTGGGTGTGGCTAGAGAACTTGAAGTTGGTGTGATAAATTAAAGTTGTTCTAATGGGAAATTTTTTAAAGTGCCTTTTCACTGAGAGTTTTAATGATTTACTAAAAAGTAAACTTATTTTTATTTCAGACCTAATTAAAGACTACGAGGAGAGTAAAGAGGAACATCATGTCAAAATTGAGGACAAAACTCATTTAGTGACTGATGGTATTTTAAAAGTGAGAGACAAGAGTTGTTTAACCTGCACTCAGTGTGGAAAGAGTTTGGCAAGCAAAAGCAAACTAAAGACTCACATGAGGATTCACACTGGAGAGAAACCATTCACATGCTATCAATATGGGAAGAGTTTCAGCAAATCATCACTTTATAGACACAAGAAGATCCACACCGGTAAAAAAACATTCACTTGCACTCAGTGTGGGAAGAGTTTTAACTGCTCATCACACCTTAATCAACACATCAGGATCCACACTGGAGAGAAACCATTCAGATGCACTCAGTGTGGGAAGAGTTTTAACTGCTCATCACACCTTAATGAACACATGATGATCCACACTGGAGAGAAACCATTCACATGCACCCAGTGTGGGAAGAGTTTTAGCAAATCATCGTCGCTTTATAGACACATGAAGATCCACACCGGAGAAAAACCATACACTTGCACTGAGTGTAGGAAGAGTTTCAGCCAATCATCATCCCTTAATCTACACATGAGGATCCACACTGGAGAGAAACCATTCACATGCACTGAGTGTGGGAACAGTTTCAGTAAATCATCATCGCTTTATAGACACATGAAGATCCACACCGGAGAAAAACCATTCACTTGCACTGAGTGTGGGAAGAGTTTCATCCAATCATCATGCCTTAATGTACACATGAGGATCCACACTGGAGAGAAACCTTTCACATGCACTCAGTGTGGGAAGAGTTTCATCCACTCATCACACCTTAATCAACACCTCATGATCCACACTGGAGAGAAACCATTCAAATGCCCTCAGTGTGGGAAGAGTTTTAGCCAATCATACCTTAAAAAACACATGAAGATTCACACTGGTGTGAGAGAGTATATGTGCTTGGAGTGTGAGAAGACTTTTATTACAGCTGCAGAATTGAAACGGCACAAGAGGATACACACTGGAGAAAAACCGTACAAGTGTTCACAGTGCAGTAAGAGGTTTGCTCACTCAGGAACCCTGAAAGCACATCAGAGGATTCACACTGGAGATAAACTGTAGACGTGATCAGTGTGTATTAGGGTTGGTTAACGAAACCCGGTGCCATTTTAGCACCGCTACCTTGGTAACTGGTATGTATCGGTATTAAATCAGCATATGAATTTCGGTGCTTAATTTCGGTGCTGCGGCATGAACGTGAGGGGTGCATGAAAAAAGGCACATATAGGCATTGTGTCACAGCATCACTAAACATTTAATTCTAAACAACTTTGAGGGATACGGACAAGCGATATTAAGCAATTGTTATTGTCGCTAGGGAACAGACGCACGCAACACACACAGTACAGCGCATTTAGCCTGGAACCAGTGGTTTTTGGTGAGCGAGAGCAACACTCTTCAGATCAACATGTGTGATCACGTTCATCCAATTTGCCTAAACTAAGCATTCTAAAGCAAATTTTACAAGCAAGGATTCTTACACAGCAACTGTCTTTACAAAAGTGTGTGTAACGTTAAGAGGGAAACATGTCAAACTTAATGACACATGTAGAACAGATGTAACACATTGATCAAATGTAGTTTTCAGTCACGCTCATGTAAGTCATATTCAACTGATTTCCGTCTTGAACACATGATTTATTTACTACACATTTTTAAACATAATAGTTTAACTAACTCGTTTTTAATATCTAACGTTACTTTTTTATGCTGACAGTCAGTGCAGAACATTTTACTAGTTATTTTGCAAGACAAAGTCCCTTTAAGTGTTTATTAGTCTTTTATTCAGATTAAAGGGTAATTTAGACTTAAAGGGGTGGTCCACTATGATCTCATATTTTAAACTTTAGTTGATGTGTAATGTAGCTGTGTGAACATAAACAGCATCTCTGAATGTAAAATGCTCAAAGTTCAATGCAAAGGGAGACCTTGATTTTTAGAGTTAGCTTAGCAACGCCTACAATGAACGAATTTTGGGGACTACAAAAAATACTTCCGCCCCCTGTGAGATCTCAAAAGTTTGTTATTGCGCATCCCACACTGCGCAGGTAAAGGCCGTTGCCAGAGGCGCTGTAACTACTGCAGAGGGAGAAATGCCATCCTGCTGTTTCCACAGAGCTTCTCTGTTTCTGTTGTTGGGCTTCCAAATGACACGACCCAAACACAGAAGTGCTTACAGTTCAATATTAATTATGTTCCAGAGAACTATAAAATACACAGCAAGCATGATTTGACAAAACGCAGCTTCCAGAATCTCTCCCAGTTCAGTGCTGGATTCGGCTAAAATCTCCTCAAAGATGGAGCAAGGAGACGCTGTGAACTGAGTCATGATCTGTAAGTGTTTTTATTTGTTAAAATTGATCATGACACGTACAGCGTCTAGCCTTAACGGTGTGTTGTAGCATAAATGTAAATAACGGGAAATTATATTCATCACTAACGACTTAGCTACAAATCCATACTTATCAGTCAAACGGCTGTAAACACACACACATACACAAACATACATACACGCACTCTTGGCCAGCATGCGCGTCTCTGTGTGAGATGGCAGTGTGTCTCTTATGTGTGTGCACGACTGCACTGATTGTCTTCAGGCAGCTTTTCCATGCGTTCAACTCAAGACAATAAAGTCGCAAAAGATATGTGAACGAATCATGTTACTTACACAGGCATATTCCGTATATGCGTGAAAGACGTCCTGTTACGCATTGATTAAAAAAAATAAAAAATACAGCAATGCTCTCCCAACTGGAGTGTAACAGCAAAAACAAATCAATCCAGGCTCACACGGGTCTCATCTCACATCTTGTGATTTAATCTGTCACCACAGAAAATAACTTAATCCGAGCATGAGAGAAAAAGAACAATAAATATCCCGCGCACATGCACTTCTCATGTTACAGACACTTCATAGTATATACACGCACACACATAAACACAATAAATGGCACAGAAACACTTTTAAAGGAGCCGCATCCCATTTTCACTCGTTACAGACACGTGTTAACTGACTGACTGTTTACACACAACGCGCGTGCTTCTCCAGGCGTGACGTGGAGCCGATCGGCGAATCACAGCACATTATGATGATGACCAATCAGAGTCACTTGAGGGTGGGCCTTTTAGAGGAACTAGGAAATATGACAGTCGTTTTCCTGTTAGCTGAGTAGCTGTGTATAATCAAAGTGAGATATATGAAAAAATAACATGATTTCCTTCAAGTGAAACATGAGCACACATTGCTTTGCATCTTATTAACACAACCAAGCCTTAAAATTACATTCTGGACCACCCCTTTAATCAGTTCACTACGAAAGTTAAAATAATTAGTCAAATTATTTTGTAACTGATTTGTTGTGTAAGTCAAAAATATACAGTAAATATTTCTTAAGGAGGCTAATATTACTGACCTTATTATTATTTTTTTAAATTAAAAACGGCTTTTATTCATGGAATAAACAATAAGAAATAGGACTTATTATGACTCCAGAATAATTATGTTTTAGGAAACACTGTAAAAGTTTTCAGAAACATTATTTTAAATGAATGGGAGAGTAAAATAAAACGACTTCAGCTGTAGGCCTGTTAAAGTTTACAGGTGCAACAATGTGCCTTGATGTACTTGAATGTTAGAAATGTGTTCTCCTACACCAACGTTACTTGTCAAATAAATGAACAAGGAAGATTATTTTGAGTTTAAGTTATTTAATTATCTTGTTTATGAAGACTGCAGAGTAATGGATGAAAACAAATGACTTTGAATAATGTTTTAAGTATTTTGTGATATATTTGTTAAAATGTGCTCCTAAAATTACTTGGCCCCTGCCCGCCCCCCACAGGTTAAAAGGAAGCTAATGTAATTTCATAATGCAAATCTTAAATTCATGCTAACCAACAAATGATCAAAGGAAATGTATTAATGTAATACAATATGAATTGATGTTTACATTAAACTGTAATTATGTTGTTCTATTAAAATTATTTAAAAAAAAGAAAAATTTGTCAAATAAAATTTTTTTGAAGAGTCATCCACCATCATTTTGTGGCTAAAAAAAAGTATCGATTCAGGCACCGTTTTGGCACCGGTATTGTTTTAAAAGTATCGATTTAGCACCGGTATCGAAAAAAAAAAAAAACGATACCCAACCCTAGTGTGTACAGAGTTTCACTCATTCGGGGCAGCTTGAGAAACACATGGGATGGTTTCCAGTATGGTGTTGACACATGTAGCAGCATAGAAAGAGCGCTTCCATACACACTGGTATTAATCCTCCTTTTTACATCATATATGATAACCTAAACCATATTTAAATAACATGGAGTGCAATAGGCACAGCAAGGAAGGGCTTTTTTAGAAAAGGAAGGCTTTCCTCTCACATTAAGAAGTTATTTAAGACTTCAAGGTTTGGAGATCTTTTTCTTAATTTTTTTTATGTGGTTCAAGATATTCACGTTTGTGTTTTTCGTGTTCCGATCACAGTGATCTTTGCAATAATATCTGATTATAGTATATGCAAAAACAGAAATATAGAGTAATTACTTTGAATATTAATGGGTTACTAAATCCGATTAAAAGAAGCAAACTTGTGGCTAAAATTAAAAGAGAAAACCAACAGATAATCTTCTGGCAAGAGACACATCTTTCTGATACAGAAAATAGGAAATTAGAAAAAATGGGATTTAAGGTTTTCTTTTTCTCATATAATAATGGTCGTAAACGAGGAGTAATGACATTAATCTCAAATAAAATCAACTTCCAATTAATTTCTACTGATAAAGAAGGGCGATATAACCTAATTAAAGGAACTACCAACCATACCAAAGTTACATTAGTTAGTATATATAGACCACCTGAAAAAGACAAAGCATTTCTCAAAAAAATAGTAAGTGTTATAGCCAAGGAGACATCAGGTACGTTGATCTGTGAGGGAGACTGGAATGTACAACTTCAGCCTAAAATTGGACTCATCTTCTAATAAGCAAATTAGTCAAGAAACTAGACAAATAAGATATTTGATGAAATAATTAGGCTCGATAGATGTATGAAGAGACATATTTCCTCTTAAAAAAGGAATATACTTTCTTCTCTTCTGCCCACATGTCTCATTATAGAATTGTTTTTTTATTTTTAGGTCAGATCAACATAAAATAAAAGACTGTAAAATTGGAACAAGGGACATCTCAGACCATGCAGGAGTATGTTTAAGAGTGTACCTGGACAATAAACCAAGTAAGACATTTTGGCGATTTAAACTTAAACATTTGAATGATTTAACGTGTGTAGAATATGTTAAAAAAGAACTATTAGTATATTTAAAACATAATGATAATAATGCAGAGGTGTCACCTAGTATCGATGGGACGCAGCTAAAGCTGTTATGCGAGGTAAACTTATAATGTGGGGATCAAGAAAAAAAAATGGAATTACATAAATAATCTAAATATACAACTTGAAGATTTAGAGACTAAATATGGTAAATATCCAGATATTTTTAATAATATCAAAGAAGTTAAAGTGGAACTCAATAAAATGTTTGAGGGCGTGTCAGAATCCATACTTGCTAATTTAAGGATGGAAAAATCCGTTTTGCGCCATGGCGCATGGTCTAAAAGGGTTGATTTTATTTTCTTAATGAGTTATAGGTGTGTTTTGAGAATAAACCAATCAGCAACTCATCTCCCATTCCCTTTAAGAGCCAGTTGCGTCGCGTCATGAGCGCATTTGCTATTTACATGACGTAAAGTAAGTTCACTTTTGCTTTTGCTCTCGTGGATAGGGAAACCTTTACACACAGACATCAATTAGCCTATAAATAATTAATTTTGTTTGTTAAGCGCAAACATTTGTTTTAAAACTATTTTTAAATTCAGTTCTAATTTCCAGCAAACAAATACATTAACATTGATAATCAAGTGTGTTCAAAAAACTGAGTTATTTCCAAATACACCTGCTGTGCCCCATATGGTCTAAAACCTGACAGGTGGGCAAATCTAAGCCTGTTTTTAATCAAACAAATATAAACATGGATATAAT